GACACACGTTAGCCGTGGAATCAGACAGGACATTGGGATCCCCTAGCTATGACAGGTCCTAAACTTTCTTACCATCAGAATTAGAATTTTCCTACAACTCATTGTCAGAAACAGAGGCAATAGATTATGAAGCAGTGAGCGAGAGGTGGTTTAGGAATGTTCTAAGGGAGAAAAAAGCAGAATGGATAGCTAGAAGCTGTACCTGTTGGCCTTTTTGTGTCTGGACTATTCATTTATAAATTTAGGTCCTAAGTGATGAGGTGGATGCAGAGACAAATAAGGGAGATGTGCTTTTTGAGTGAGGGCAGACCTCTCTGAAAGCGCTCCTAACTATTAAACACTGATCGCCCAAGGCCTCTAGTTTGGGAGATGCCATCCCGCAAAGCAAATCGTGATCTACTACCTGCATTCTGGTGAACTTCCTTCAAGGACCCGGGAAGACCAGCAGTGTTAACCCTCTTCCTGGATGGGCTAGGTGTCATTCTGCCGAGGGACAGAGAGATTCTTTTTTTTTTTTTTTTTTTTATTTGAGAGAGGGTAGGTGGGGGGGGGGGGCAGAGGGAGGGGGAGGGAGAATCTCAAGCAGACTCCCCATTGAGCCGGACACAGGGTTCCATCTCACGACCCTGAGATCAGGACCTGAGCCGAAACCAAGAGTTGGATGCTTAATCGACTGCGCCACCCAGGTGCCCCAGGACAGAGAGATTCTAAATCAAGAAAACCTTCATTAAATGCAGATGTTCCCCTGCTATAGACGAAGACCCTGAGACACAGAGTCAGGCCAGCCGTTACCATTTGCAAGGACCTGGGATTGGAGCACACATGGAGGCGCAGAGCCCAGGTCTGATATTTAAATAACATTTGCTCCATCCTTGCCCCTGGGCAAATATATCTTCATAGCAACAAAATTGGGGGAAAAAAGTGAAATCTACGGGTTTTATATGACTGAAAGTTTGCAAAAATTTTAAAAATGACAATTTTGTGATTATTGCACACTTGTGGGCATTCTGTTACGACACGTTTAAATGAGCATTAAAGGGGCGCCTGGGTGGCTCAGTCGTTAAGCGTCTGCCTTCGGCTCAGGTCATGATCCCGGGGTCCTGGGATCGAGCCCCGCATCGGGCTCCCTGCTCAGCGGGGGAGTCTGCTTCTCCCTCTCCCTCTGCCATTCTGGCCTCCACGCCCTGTTTGTGCTCTCTGGCTCTCTCTGTCAAATAAATAAATTAAATTAATGAGCATTAAGGGCATACACAATTCATGTATGATTACGTTTATCCATAAAATTAATATTTTTTGCTTTAATCTCAGCAAAATCATTATATTCTTATAATCAATATTTTCACATAATTTGTGTGCTGTTGACAGTAAAACCCAACTAGATTTACTTTCTTGAATCTTAGGTTTTTTAAAAATTTCACTTTGGGTAAATTTTGCTCTGCGGCAATTGAAATTGTCAATAAAATTCTTTTTTTATTTTAAAGATTTTAAAGATTTATTTATTTGAGAGAGAGAGAGGGAGCGTGGTGGGGAGGGGCAGAGGAAGAGGGAGAGAGAATCTTGAGCAGGCTCCACGCAGAGCACGTAGCTAATGCAGAGCTTGATCTTCCCAAGACTCCCACCTGGGCCCAAATCAAGAGTCAGTCGCTTAACCAACTGAACCACCCAGGCGCCCCTGAAATTGTCAATAAAACTCTTACTTTTAAATATCAAGCATTGTAATGGGGTCACGCGATATATTGCCATTATCACAGACACGAGTATCTAAATTTCATCCTATAAATTCATTTGTCATGATTTGAAAAATCCTTTAGAACAGCATCTTTTAAAAAATCTAGATTCCTATAATATTGTAAAGGGTTGATGTCATGTTTCATGCACATTATGTGTACACACACATTTGAGAGTAACATGAGCCGTTTGTGAATATTGTGCTAATTCCCGAGAAACCGTAGAACCATACACTGGAACAAGAAGAACAAGAATCCATGGGCGACAAAGGTCTGGAGAGCTAAGTTATCTTTCCTCCCCGCCCCCCGCCCCAGGAGCTTCTGCTGCCCCGATCGTCCTCCCTCTCCAAGGCAGTGCCTGTATCTGAGGTCAGCAGTAACACCCCCTACAGACGTCTGCAGCTTTGGGTGTGCTTACCTGTAGTTTGGAGAACACAGGGCAAACGATGGAGGTCTGCAGGGAGCCGAATGGTGTTAGCCAACTGCCGACGTTCAGGGTTACAGGTGGGACTGAGCCAGTGCTCAGAGCCACGTGACAGAGAGCCTTTTAAAGGGCCAGGCCCCGGAACCCCCAGCATGGGTCTGTGGCCAGCACTGTGGTACTTGCTAAGTCACCGTACAGATATTACTGTAGTGGGTTGAATGGTTGCCCCCAACAGATACGCTCATATCCTCATCCCTAGAACCTGTGAATGTGGCCTTCTTTGGAAAAAGGGTCTCAACAGATGTGTTAAATTAGGGATCTCAAGATAAATCATTCTGGATGATCCAGGTGGGCCCTCCGTACCATGACAAGTGTCCTTGGAGGCGACAAATAGAGGAAAGTCAGAAGGAGAAGAGAAGGTCATGTGAACACGGAGGCGGAGAGGGGAGTGCTATGGCCACAAGCCAAGGAGAGCTGACAGCCACCAGAAGCTGGGGGAGGCAGGGAAGATTTCTCCCCTAGGGCCTTCAGAGGGAGCACTGCCCTGCCGAAAACTTGATTTCAGACTTCTGGCCCCTAGAGTTCTGAGAGGATCATTTCTCTTGTTTTCAGCCACCAAATTTATGGTGATTAGTTATGGCAGCCTTAGGAGTTTAGGCTAATTACAACAATTACTAATAATGTTGAACATTTATTAGGACTGATTACATGCCAGGCCCTTTACTAAACCCCTTTCACAAGCATTATCTCACTTAAACCTCACGACAGTCTCAAGAGATAGGTGCTATTATCATCCCCATTTTATAGATGAGCAAACTGAGGTTCAAAGGGGTCAAGTAGCTTGCCCAAGGCCACATGGCTGGTAAGTTGGGATTTGAACCCAGGTCTCTCTGATTCCAAAGACCTCTTTTAAGCACACACAGAAACCTCCCTGCTGTGTCATGGACCCAGCTGTAAAGGAGACACACCCTACACTTGGTGGTTTTGTCTGTGCAATGTGGTCTTTGTCCTCCTTCTTAAAAAGGGGCCTGATTGGGGTGCCTGGGTGGCTCAGTCAGTTAAGCGTTTTCCTTCAGCTCAGGTCACGATCCCAGGGTCCTGGGATCGAGTCCCGCATCAGGCTCCTTGCTCAGAGGAGAGCCTCCTTCTCCCTCTGCCTGCCACTCCCCCTGCTTGTTCTCTCTCTCTCTCTCTGACAAATAAATAAATAAAATCTTAAAAAGAATCTTAAAAAGATTCTTTGAGCACCCTCTCCCCAACCCTGGGCTCTTTACCACCGCCTCAGAAATGAGATATAAATTACAATGGGCCACTCTTCTAACTCAGTGGATCATGGGAACACTGTTTCTGTGTCATAAAGAAACATTTTAGGCATACACAATCACTCATAGTTCTTTGCATCTATTTAGCCTCGGGGTCATTCGGGTTTATTTGAAGATGTTGCCAAGATGAATCAAAAATCTGGGGAAACTCTTTGTCCTTGGAGAAGGACAGCAGTAGGGATGGATTCTTGTTACTTTCTTTTTGCTGATTTTGCATTTGTGTTAAGACTATCTCACTGTCCCAGGAAAAACAGAAAGAAAAGTTTGTGTTCTTGAGACTTAAAATATATTCTCTGAGCTCGTGTAAGCTAGCTATCAGAACTTCAACACTGGACTCTGGTGATGGTGTGATTTTGGAAACAAGCATTTCTTTCCTTCTCTACTTTTGTCCTGTCTTTTGGGGATTAGAAGGGACTTCTTCGTCTACTGACAAACCCAAATACTGTGTGTGTGTGTGTGTGGTAGTTGGGGGAAGAAGGTCTGGTTGAGGTGGTTACTTTTATTTTGTTACCCTTTATTTCTTTTCTTTCAAACAAAATCTACCCCATTTTACAGGTGGAAACGTTGAGTCTTGGTGCCTCGAAAGGATTTTCTCCAAGATAATTCAACCAGATAGACTTAATTACAAATGCTCTGCTTGTCTTCTCAAGAAGCCCTTCCATTTAGTGAACACCAGAGCTGTTATACAATGAGTTCTGAGGCTAATTTTAAAGCAAGTCATGTGTCTCTCCCGTTGCTCTGACCCAAATATGAGACAGAGATTCAAAGTTGCGCACAAAGAAAACCAAAATCAATAAGGAGGCCCTATATGAGCACTTTGGTTGATTCAGGGAATGTGCGCCTCATCTTTCAGCCACTGCAATGCTTCCTCACTTGGGAATCATTCGCTGTTTCACTCAGGACCCTGCCCCCCGCCCCCCCGAGACTGTGTGGAAGGGGACCTGAGTCCAGAGCCAGGCCCAGGGACGACTTGGGGTCACTGCTCTCTCCAAACAGCAAGAGATGCTCATCTAACCTCGCTCCCAGAGATGGCTTTGCACTGGGCTAAGCAACAATAGCTAAGAGGTTAGAAACCCTTGTTCTCTCTTTTTTTTTTTTTTTATTCTTATGTTAATCCCCATACATTACAACATTAGTTTTAAATGAAGTGTTCCATGATTCATTGTTTGTGCATAACACCCAGTGCTCCATGCAGAATGTGCCCTCCTCAATACCCACCACCAGGCTAACCCGTCCTCCCACCCCCCTCCCCTCTAGAACCCTGTTTGTTTTTCAGAGTCCATCGTCTCTCATGGTTCGTCTACCCCTCCGATTTCCCCGGCTTCATTCTTCCCCTCCCGCTACCTTCTTCTTCTTCTTCTTTTTTTTTTTTCTTAACATATATTGCATTATTTGTTTCAGAGGTACAGATCTGAGATTCAACAGTCTTGCACAATTCACAGCGCTTACCAGAGCACATACCCTCCCCAGTGTCTATCACCCAGTCCCCTCATCCCTCCACCCCACCCCCCACTCCAACAACACTCAGTTTGTTTCCTGCGATTAAGAATTCCTCATATCAGTGAGATCATGTGATACATGTCTTTCTCTTTTTGACTTATTTCACTCAATATAATACCCTCCAGTTCCATCCACGTCGTTGCAAATGGCAAGATCTCATTCCTTTTGATGGCTGCATAATATTCCATTGTATATATATACCACATCTTCTTTATCCATTCATCTGTCGATGGACATCTTGGCTCTTTCCACAGTTTGGCTATTGTGGACATTGCTGCTATAAACATCGGGGTGCACGTACCCCTTCGGATCCCTACTTTTGTATCTTTGGGGTAAATACCCAGTAGTGCAATTGCTGGATCATATGGTAGCTCTATTTTCAACTTTTTGAGGAAACTCCATACAGTTTTCCAGAGTGGCTGCACCAGTTTGCATTCCCACCAACAGTGTAGGAGGGTTCCCCTTTCTCCGCATCCCCGCCAACATCTGTCGTTTCCTGACTTGTTAATTTTAGCCATTCTGACTGGTGTGAGGTGGTATCTCATTGAGGATTTGATTTGGATTTCCCTGATGCCGAGCGATATTGAGCACTTTTTCATGTGTCTGTTGGCCATTTGGATGTCTTCTTTGGAAAAATGTCTGTTCATGTCTTCTGCCCATTTCTTGATTGGATTCTTTGTTCTTTGGGTGTTGAGTTTGATGAGTTCTTTATAGATTTTGGATACTAGCCCTTTATCTGATATGTCATTTGCAAATATCTTCTCCCATTCTGTCGGTTGTCTTTTGGTTTTGTTGACTGTTTCCTTTGCTTTGCAAAAGCTTTTTATCTTGATGAAGTCCCAATAGTTCATTTTTGCCCTTGCTTCCCTTGCCTTTGGCGATGTTTCTAGGAAGAAGTTGCTTCGGCTGAGGTCAAAGAGGTTGCTGCCTGTGTTCTCCTTTAGAAACCCTTGTTCTCTTGAGGGGCTGGCGGTGGAAGGACAGGAGAGGCGGGCAGCTGACAGGCCGGCGCTAGGAGGCGCTAGTGCGGACAGAAGGTGCTGGCCTCATCCAATGGAAGGTCACTCCCGGTCTCACTTTTCTGAGTCCCTGCCTTCTGTCCAGGTGTCCTGCACACAGTCTCCCCCCGGAGCTTCTCTCCTTTCTCCTTTCTCTAAACCAAAACATGCTCCCAGGGAAGGATCTGATCAATTCTTTCGCATCAGGAGAAGGGACAAACTCGTATCTTCCCAGGGGCATATGCATTTTGAGGACCTAAAGCAAAACTAATGAGTCTCTGTGCAATTTCTGAGGTCAGGGAAGTCAGGTAAGAGGGGCGCGGCCCGCTCTGGGGGGCAGGCAATGGTGCAGGTGTGCAGGAAGGTCAGGGTGCGAGCAGGACAGGCATTTCCAGAGACGAAGACTTTCATCCTACCATAAGACAGGGCTCCGGGGGCAGGTGGAGGCGGCCATGGGAGCTAAGGAGGCAAAGAGTAGAAAACCTTGAGCTCAAAACTCTGTGCTGGAAGTTATCTGCTTTTTCCTACAGAAAATAGAGGTAAAACTCACTCATTTATTTATACTTTCATTCATTCATTCATTCATTCATTCATTCATTCAAATGAAATGGTATTTGCTATCAGAGAGGCAGTAGAGAGAGCCATGAACGAGATACAGAAGGCCTCTCTCTACCTGCAACAATGGAACTTTCTCTCCAACTAGCAGGGTGAGGCTAATAACATATAATTTCACGTGGTTCGAAGTGCTTTGAAAAGACAAAACAGGGTAAGGAGATAAGAGAGCGGCAAGAAGGGTGCATGGGGTGGGGGTGTTTAGATGAGGAGGCAGGTCAGGCTTCCTAGGTCAGGTTTCCAGATTTCGCAAATAAAAATACAGGACACCCAGGGCGCCTGGGTGGCTCAGTTGAGCGACTGCCTTCAGCTCAGGTCATGCATGATCCTGGAATCCCAGGATCGAGTCCCACATAGGTCTCCCTGCTCGGTGGGGAGCCTGCTTCTCCCTCTGACCCTTCCCGTTCTCATGCGCTCTCTCTCTTTCCCACTCCCTCTCAAATAAATAAAATAAAATCTTTAAAAAAAAATACAGGACACCCAATTGCATTTGAGTTTGAGAGAAGCGATGACAACTTTTTCAGCCTAAGTGTGTCCCATGCAATATTTGGGACATACAAGTACTAAAAAATTATGCATCATTTATCTGGAGTTCACATTTAACTGGGTGTCCTGCATTTTGTCTTGTAACTCTAGCCCATGAGACCCCCATGAATGAGGTGAGGGAGAGTTCCAGGAGAGAAAACAGGAAGGGCAGAGATTTCCAGGCAGAAATGAGCTTGCTTTGTTCAGGGAGGCCCATGTGGTTGGAATAGGGGGGACCCCAGGGAGGTGGGCAGGGGCCAGATCATGTGGAGCCACAGGCACATGTGAAAAGTTTGCATTTTATTCTCACCTGTGGGATTTTTAAAAAGATTTATTTATTTATTTGAGAGAGAGAGAGAGCATGCGCGCACGTATGGGAGAGGGAGCGCAGACTCCCCGCTGAGCACCCGACCTGGGGCTCCATCCCAGGACCCTCAGCACTGCAATTACTCGTTTCCATGAATATTTCAGTTGAGTATTGTGTTTCCCAAAGCAAACACCACTGGCATTGCTAAGACCAGACTAGGAGAGTAGGAGAGTAGGTGAACAGGAGAGTTGGTGCTTCTGCCCTGGGGGAAAGTGAGCAATGTTTCCCCTAAATTTGCTTGACCTCACCCTTCTTCCTCATTCACTACTGCCTTCAGTTTTCCTAGCACAGGACAAAGTCTTTCATCCTACCATAAGGAATGAGCTGAAACACTACCGAGGGAAGGGATTTAGGGACTCAAATTCTGACTAGTCTGTAAATGACTACCAGGAAGTGTTTGGAAAGTGACGAACGGGAGAGCGTGTAGCAGGAGTCAGGGGAGGACGGCAAGAATATGAACAGGGGGAATGTGAGGGTGCTCACGTCAAGCACTGGCAGGGTGAGTAGCTTGCCTAGCTCTGACCCTGAGTACCGGCCGAGTAGTATTGGAACCAAACTGTCACCCCTTCTCTGTATCTAGATGGCCAAGAATCTCTCGTGGAAGAGATACTCAGAGCCAGGCTGGCGGCAAACCAATACTGCCAGATGGCAGAGCAGTCAAAATATTGTGCTGTGACGCCCACACTGTGTTTGGGTAAAGGCTGAACTTACATTCCTGCAGCAGACCTCGGTGGGCTCCGGTCTGAGAACGTTTCCTGCCGCCTCTGCCATTTTCCTCCGCGACTCACTGAGTGACTCATGGCTCATCTCCAGCAGTTCGTTCCTTGCAGAGATTTCTCTCTCCCAACCAGCCTCTTCTCTGGCCTTCTAGTAAAAGAGGCCCTATGCTGAAGAAGGAGGCTTGGCTGTATTTCTGTGAGAACAGAAGAGCCCTACCTAACTTTCCATGGAATGCGGGGTTTGGGACCCAAAAATAATCTTGTGAGGTAAACAGAAAAGCAGCCTCAGGTCCAAGTGACAGAGTGTGGACTTCTGTCTTGTATCTTTTCTCACGTATGACGGACTGTTAATTCATTTGAAAATGATTTAATGACTTGTGCAAGATCTCATAGCTGCTTGCTGCCCTCTAAAACAAAAATGTTAGGGGTGCCTGGCTCAGTTGGAAGAGTGTGTGGCTCTTGATCTCGAAGTCATGAGTTCGAGCCCCACGTTGGGCATCGAGATTACTTAAATAAATAAAACTTTAAAATAAACATGTTCTTTTTCTAGAAAACCATGGTTTAGAAAACAAGACAGTATCTTCAAGAGGGAAGGGGGTTTCTCCCATTGTTGCAAAAGCATTTCTTTCAGACAGGTTGAATCACTTGCTGGTGGACTGGTCGATTCTTCCCCCAAAATGTAATGACTCCCCCATTATACGAATGATAAATGTTTACTGCAGGAACTTTGGAAAAGTTAGAAAAACACAAAGGGGACCATAAATATCACCTGTAATCCTCCCACTGAGATATAATTGCTGTTGACATTTTGATGTTTCCTTCCTGTCTTTTTCCGTATACAGATGACTGTATTTTAACAAATTGGAAGAAAATGTGGTATAAGCTGATTGATAACTTGTTTTTTTTTTAACTTGTTTTTTCATTTAATATTATTTCCGTGATTATTTTCTCACATCAAAAAATGTTTTCATCATCCTAGGGGTCCCTCAGTCTACTCATTTGGACTTTTAGGTTGTCACCTTTTTTTAAAATTATACACACCATCACAATGGGTATGCTTGGTCTTATAAAAACACAGTGATGTTTCCACCCTGTGGTCTGTCTGGGCCTTGGTTTGAGAAAAGATTGAAAAAAGGAAAGAAACAGAGGACGTTGATAGGCTTTAGCTTGATTTCCCTCCGTCTGCTGGAGAAGGGAAAGAAGTGAAGCCAGGATTTCCAGAGTCCCACCCTAAAGGCTGTTTCCCTCCCCTGCGCTCTTAATTCTGTTCCTCCAACTTATCACCTCCCTGTCTCTGTAGCTCCTCGGCCTTCTCTCTGCCCTGCCCTGCCGCCCCTCATGGCCACCCCAGAACTGGACTCAAAAGACCCTCCCTGGTCCCTCTGGCTGCAGCTGAGTGTTTGCTGCATCTTGACTCAGTGTCTAAAAGTTCTTTCTAGGAGCAGCGAATGAAGGATCAGCGTTCGAATATCTGAAGTTGTGCCTATAAAACTCTTCGGTTTGCACCTGCTTTGCCTGTGGGTGCACCCCACCGCCTGGCTCTGCCTGACCAGGGAAGTGGTAAGAAGCTCAAAGAAAATTAACAATAGTGTGACCTCTGGATTTCTTTAATTTCTTTGCTGGACAAACCCACCATCCCTCCATTCCTTTCTCATCAGGCACTAAGTGTGTGTGAGTTCTAATAACTAGAAAAATCGGGATGATCATAATTCCCAAGCTAGAATTTGAGAAGCAGATGAGAAAGGTCATAAAATCAAATCATGCTCAACTGAGTGCTTTAAAAACAAAAAAAACACCTTTGTTGCAGGATTCCAAAAATAGTTCCCAATGCTGCCCTTCACCTTCACAATTATTTTAGTCTTCTGTTCTAAATCTGAATGGCACAGAGCAGCAGAATTTGTACATTAAGTTCATAAGGGAACAGTCAGCTCATTAATTCTTAACATTGGTGGTATTTGACTATTCGCTGTCATATGCTCCGTTCCAAAATCTATCTGGCCCGCTTTTCTGAGATGATTAAGATGTCGTATTGAGGGCGCCTGGGTGGCTCAGATGGTTAAGCGTCTGCCTTCGGCTCAGGTCATGATCCCAGGGTCCTGGGATCGAGTCCCGCATCGGGCTCTCTGCTCCTTGGGAGCCTGCTTCTCCCTCTGCCTCTCTCTCTCTCTGTCTGTCATGAATAAATAAATAAAAAATCTTAAAAAAAAAAAAAGATGTCGTATTGATAACCTGAGGGCTATCAACAACACAGTGCCCTTCCTATGTGAGACAAGGTTATAGCCCCCCCACGGGAGGGTGTGGTTGACAACGACACTAATCATCTCAGGTTCATTCGTTCACAAGTTCATTTATTCAAACATGTGAGACTTTCCTAGGTGCCCGGCAAGAGAAAAAGTGCCTTCCAGGAGGGAGACAAATAAATATTTAATATAAATGAAAATGTTACAAAGCAAAATAAAGCCAAGTAAGAGAATGGAGTATGTGTGTCAGAGGGGAGGAGTGGGGGGCAGTGATATTTTAGACCTGGTAGTTAGAGAAGGCCTCTTTGGGGAGGTGGTATTTAAGTGCAGGAACCAGTCATGGAAAGAACTATGTGGGGATGAGCAGCAAGGACAAAGACCTCAAGATGGGAGAGGATCCATCAGAGAGCTAGCAAAGACTCGAGGGTGGCTGAATGCATTGTTGGAGGGTGGGGGAAGATCCGAGGAGGCTGGGGGCCAGCTCAGGGAGGGCCTATAGGTCATTGGGAAGACTTAGCATTTTATTCACTGTGAAGCTATTGTCCAGAGGTGGCCCGAAGGCAGGGGGAAGTTAGTGACCCTTAGTCTGCTCTTCTGTGCTCTTTCCCACGTGCTGATTGACTTCAGACTCTCCTGGTCCCTGAGCCCAGCAGACTACTTCAGGTCCCAGCAGGCTGGAAGCATTGAGGGATTCTGGGGAGAGTCTCTGTGTCCTGGTCACTACGGCTGTCAGGTCCACTGTCTTGGTGGTTTTATAATTCAGATGAGCTGCTCTGGCATCCTAGGTCTATTGGAAACAGATTCGGGAGTCCTGGGTGGCTCAGTCGGTTAAACGTCTGCCTTGGGCTCAGGTCATGGTCCCAGGGTCCTGGGATCAAGCCCTATTTTGCTCCCCTTGCTTAGCGGGGAACCTGTTTCTTCCTCTCCCTCTGCCTGCTGCTCCCCCTGCTTGTGCTCTCTCTCTGAGAAACAAATAAATAAAATCTTTAAAAAAAAATAAATTCAATCAATTAACGTATAATGTATTATTAGTTTCAGAGGTAGGTCAGTGATTCACCAGTCTTATATAACACCCAGTGCTCATTACATCATGTGACCTCCTTAATGTCCATCACCCAGTTCCCCATCCCCCCACTCACCTCCTCTTCAGCAACCCTCAGTTTGTTTCCTATGATTAAGAGTCTCGGGGTGCCTGGGTGGCTCACTGGTTAAGCGTCTGCCTTCGGCTCAGGTCATGATTCCAGGGTCCTGGGATCGAGTCCCGCATGGGGCTCCCTGCTCGGTGGGAAGCCTGCTTCTCCCTCTCCCACTCCCCCTGCTTGTGTTCCTGCTCTCGCTATCTCTCTCTCTGTCAAATAAATAAAATCTTAAAAAAAAAAAAAAAGAGTCTCTTATGGGGGCGCCTGGGTGGCTCAGTCGTTAAGCGTCTGCCTTCGTCTCAGGTCATGATTCCAGGGTCCTGGGATCGAGTCCCGCATGGGGTTCCCTGCTCGGCGGGAAGCCTGCTTCTCCCTCCCCCACTCCCCCTGCTTGCGTTCCCTCTCTCACTGTCTCTTTCTCTGTGTCGAAAAAAAAAAGAGTCTCTTATGGTTTGTCTCCCTCCCTGATTTCATCTTGTTTTATTTTTTCCTCTCTTCGCCTATGATCCTCTGTTTTGTTTCTTAAATTCCACGTATGAGTGAGATCATATGATAATTGTCTTTCTCTGATTGACTTATTTCACTTAGCATTATACCCTCTAGTTCCATCCACGTTGTTGTAAATGGCAAGCTTTCATTTTTTTGATGGCTGAGTAATATTCCACTGTGTATATATGTATATATATATGTGTGTGTTTATATATACCACATCTTCTTTATCCATTCATCTGACGATGGACATCTGGGCTCTTTCCATAGTTTGGCGACTGTGGACATCGCTGCTATGAACATCGGGGTGCAGGTGCCCCTTCGGATCACTACATTTGCATCTTTGGAATAAATACCCAGTAGTGCAATTGCTGGGTTGTAGGGTAGCTCTATTTTCAACTCTGAGGAACCTTCCTACTGTTTTCCAGAGTGGCTGCACCAGCTTGCCTTCCCACCAACAGTGGAGGAGGGTTCCCCTTTCTCCGCATCCCCGCCAACATCTGTCGTTTCCTGACTTGTTAATTTTAGCCATTCTGACTGGTGTGAGGTGGTATCTCATTGAGGATTTGATTTGGATTTCCCTGATGCCGAGTGATGTGGAACATCTTTTCATGTGTCTGTTGGCCATTTGGATGTCTTCTTTGGAGAAATGTTTGTTCATGTCTTCTGCCCATTTCTTGATTGGATAATTTGGGTGTTGACTTTGAAAAGTTCTTTATAGATTTTGGGTACTAGCTCTTTATCTGAGAAGACATTTGCAAATATCTTCTCCCATTCCGTCGGTTGCCTTTTGGCTTTGTAGACTGTGGAAACAGATGAGATTTTTAAGGAAAGCAGACTTTATTTCTGCTACATTGCCATTCACATAACCATCAACTATTTTGTGGGGATAATTCCTTCTGAGTCCCCCCCTATAGACCATGTGAACAATATGTATTTTCTCCAACCCCAGAGAACCATGCTGAGTTTTAGAGGAGGTTAGATAATTTGACAAGGTCACATTGTGTTTTAATTCAGGCTGCTGTACCAAGGTACCATACACTAGGTGGCTTACAGACAGCCATTTCTTTCTTATAGTTCTGGAGGCTGGAAGTCTGGGACCAGAGTGCCAGCATGGTCAGCTTCTCGTTGCAGACCCTCTTCTGGGTTGCACAACGTCTTGGTGTATCCTCATGTGGCAGACAGCAGAGAGACGTGACTCTTCTAAGGACACTAATCCCATTCATGAGGGCTCCACCCGTGACCTCCTCTACTCCTAATTACCTCCCAAAGCCCATCTCTTAATACCATCATATTGGGGGGCAGGGTTTCAACATGAATTTGGGGGGCCCCAAACATTCAATCCATGACACATGATTATTGAGTGGTGGTGGGATTTAAATTCAGATCCAGCTGGCTGGAAAGCCTGTTTTTACTATCTATCGCACTGGCTAATCCTTCCTGAGTACTTTCATTCATCACGACATTTATCAAACATCTCCTGTGTTTGGAGCTGTACTGGGGATGTAGACATGGATAAGAGGCAGTTTCTGCCCTCAAGTGTCTTAGAAACGAGTGGGCTGTCTGGAATCTATACTGTGTCTCCCAGAACGGAGATCACACAGGCACCCCCACTGCAAATACAGACACCGTTCTGGACTTTCTGACATGGAGATTTGTCTTATTCTTCTCATTAAAGAAACCTGCCAGTGGCCAAGCAGGTTGTGACGTGGATGAATAGCACCTGTTGACCCATTTATCATTGGCTCACATTAGCACTACCTGTTCACATTGGATTTCACTTTAATTTGGATCCTAAACTGTCACTTTATTATTATTATTATTATTATTTTAAAGATTTTATTTATTTGACAGAGAGAGACAGCAAGAGAAGGAACACAAGCAGGGGGAGTGGGAGAGGGAGAAGCAGGCTTCCCGCCCAGCAGGGAGCCCGATGCGGGGCTCGACCCCAGGACCCTGGGATCACGACCTGAGCCGAAGGCAGACACTTAATGACTGAGCCACCCAGGCGCCCTCCTAAATTGTCACTTTAAAAAGTCTTCAGGGGGAGGGCGACTGGGTGGCTCAGTCGGATAAGCATCTGGCTCTTGGTTTCGGCTCAGGTCATGATCTCAGGGTTGTGCGATCAAGCCCCGCATTGGGCTCTGCACTCAGCCGGCACTCTGCTTGAGATTCTCTCCCCCTCTCCCTCTGCTTCTCCCTGCCACTGAAATAAAGAAATAAATCTTAAAAAAAAAAATCTTCAGAGAGATCAGCCTGGGATGCAGGGCTAAAATGACACGTTGTCAATGTAGAAGCCCACCGGTCACTCAGCGGCAATGCAACTGAGGGCAGCAAGAATTGGCCAGTCTTGGAGTGAGTGCTTACAGAATCATCAGAGCCCGGCGTCGGACTCACGCATGTGCGGGGAAGGACTACCGCTCAGGGGAACACATAGTGCTATCAGAAGCTTCCAGATGACTTTCTAGAGAAGGCGTGAAACTTCCAGTGATAGCTTATTCAGCTCAGGAAAATACGAGTCACCGATTTAAACACATAGGTAAATATGCCAATATTCTTCCATATGCCTCAAAATGATCTCAGTTATAACAGAGATTAGTCTCAATGACAGTACCTTGGTTGTTTCCTTCAGAAGAATCACCACAATTTGTAATTATTTTCTCTTTGTCTTTCTTCCAGAATGAGGTGATCTTTTCATTGTTGTTTCCCCAGCAATGGGCAAAATGCCTAGAGCAGAGTGGGCACGTGCAGAGGAAGAATCTGGAGGGGTTGGAGGAAGCAGGAGTCCATGGCCAAGATGCTGTATACCTACCTGTGGCCAGAATGATTTGGAACTGTCTTTCTTCAGTGTCCGGGAGAAGCTTAGACTCAAAAGTTTTACTGTGATGCTGAAAAAGATAAATGCTATGTAGTTGCCTAAGGAAATATATGTTACTGTTAGTTTTTTAAAAAAGGTTTTATGAACAGGGCACACCTAGGTGCTGCAGTCGGTTAAGCGGCTGACTCTTGATTTCAGCTCAGGTCATGATCTCAGGGTTGTGGGATCGAGCCCCACATTAGGCTCCACTCTCAGGGAGGAGTCAACTTGTCCCTCTTCCTCCCCTTCCCCCTCCCCCCTGCTCTCTCTCTCTCTCAAATAAATAAATAAAATCTTAAAAAAGGTTTTATGAACATATTTTTTTTTAAAGATTTTATTTATTTATTTGAGAGAGAGAATGAGAGACAGCACAAGAGGGAAGAGGGTCAGAGGGAGAAGCAGACTCCCCGCTGAGCAGGGAGCCCGATGCGGGACTCGATCCCGGGACTCCAGGATCATGACCTGAGCCGAAGGCAGTCACTTAACCAACTGAGCCACCCAGGCGCCCCATGAACATATTTTTTTTGGAAAAAAATGTATTAAATTTACAGATGTTACTTGGTGTTAACTTTTATGACTTGGTGGTTTCTTTTATTAAATGGCATCCCAGAATGAAGGAAATGGTATAAATAAGTAAAAGCCCTTTAACTATTCCAAAGCTTTAAATGAGACATTTTAATATTTGGGGATCTTTCTGAGTGACTCTCCCAACGTTCTAATCCATTAACTGAAAACCCTCACTAGACAATGGGTATTTTCCAAATAATATAAACCACATGGGTATAACTTGTGGGCAAATTCTCACCTGGTTGGAAAGGAAGTAGCCAGCACCATTTGAATACATGCAGCCGTTAATCGTGGCTGAGAAGAGCTGGTCCTTGGGGCTGCTGTTGGGCAGGGGCCTCTCCCTGCATAGTGAGCTCTAAGGGCCAGCATCCGTTTGGGAACGGGAGAGCCCATTCCTATGGAGGGAAGCCGGGCCTATCCTCTCTGGGACTCTGCTTCATCTGGAGAATGATGGCTGTCAATGCCTCGACAGAGGGAGGAAAGCGCCTCTGGCCTCACTCAGTCACTGCTTGGTGCTCGGCATGTGACCTAGGTCGTTCAGGCTGGGGTTAACAGAACACAGCAGACTGGGTGGCTTTTAAACAATAAACATGTATTGCTCACAGTTTTGGAGGCTGGGTAATCCACAACCAAGGCACCAGCAGATGTGGTGTCCGGGGAGGGTCTACTTCCTCACGGATGGTCATTTTCTCGCTGTCCACGTGGCAGAAGGGAGATGCTAGCTCCCCGGGGTCTCTTGCACAAGGCAGTCATCCCAATCCCAGGAGCTGTCCCTCCTGACAATATCACCTCCAAAAGGCCCGACCTCCTAGTACCATCATATTGGGCATTAGGCTTCAACGTAGGAATTTGGCAGGGACGGGGGTAGGGGCAGGGAGAGGGGACACGCACATTCAGACCATGGCCCTGTCCCCACTTGACTCCCTTCCAGGACACCTGAACCAGCAGGGAATGCTCTCAGGGATTTGGAAGGCTGGTGAGAGCACCACTTCTACTTCACTCTGATCAGAAGAAAAACTGCTGTCTCCAGAACAGTGTTCCTTCTCTGGTGCTTTCCTTGTACCCATGGTTCACTTTTATTTATTTATTTACTTGTTTGTTTGTTTGTTTTAAAGATTTTTTAAAAATTTTTATTGTTATGTTAATCACCATACATTACATCATTAGTTTTCCATGTAGTGTGCCATGATTCATTGTTTGCGTATAACACCCAGTGCTCCATTCAGTACGTGCCCTCTTTAATACCCATCACCAGGCTAACCCATCCTCCCACCCCCCTATTTTAAAGATTTTATTTATTTGACAGAAATAGAGCGAGAGAGGGAACACAAGCAGGGGGAGAGGGAGAGGGAGAAGCAGGCTTCCTGCTGAGCAGGGAGCCCGATGCGGGGCTCAATCCCAGGACCCCAAGCCCGATGCGGGGCTCGATCCCAGGACCCCGAGATCATGACCTGAGCCGAAGACAGCCGCTTAACGACAGCCACGCAGGCGCCATGGTTCACTTTTAATCCTTTTATCTGAACTTTGTGCTTTCTCCTCATCTTTCCCTGCCTCTGCTTCTTCAGAAACCTCACTGCAAATCCCACCGCAGGTCCAGGGACACAGTCGGCGCCCACTTGGGTCTGGGGCCAGAGAGTTTGCCAAATTCCTTGATCTCATTTCATAAAAAGCCACATTTAAATCATGAATTACTTTCAGTATTGTGGTAAATTTAAAACATGCTGTAAAAGACAATTTTCCTATTTAATATCGTTTTGTGACGCCACTAAATTTAAATGTCCAATTCATCTACTTTTTAAAGAAATTTGAGTTTCCTTACCAAAAGCTATTATTAACTGAGCTTCAACCAAGGATAACTTAGTGCAAATAATTTGTGTTGAATAGATTTAAAATCTGATACAAAATTGATCGGCGTGCACCTTCTTCCTGTTTACTTACCTGTGTGGTCTTTCATCCTTGATAATAAGTGACTATTACTGTAAAGCTCTGTGCTAGAACCTCATATTTCATCTCTGCATTTCACCTCAGCCATCTGTGCTAAGCATCTCTCTCTCTCTTTACAGTGCAGGAAACGGAAGTTCAGGGGAGTGAGGTCACTTGCTTACAATCCCACACTAAATGGCAAAGCCTGGATTCCCACACATCCGCCGTGCGGCTTCCAAGGACACACGGACCCCTTCCAGCACAGGCAAGAGTGCCTTCTGTGCTCTAAGACATGTGTCCTACTGCACCCAGTTCTAAAATAAGGGTGGGGTTTAGGGTGTAGCTTGGGGCCACCACAATTCCCTCTTCCCAATCCCTTAGGAAAGCTGAAGATTTGGATCTGACCGCTCTCTTGTAAGGGCATCACATGACTTCTGGCCTTGGTCTTCTCATCCGTTTTACCCAGCGCCCCGAGAGCAGAGGGCACCCCTGGGCAGGCAGGAGGGGCTCTGACACGCCTGATCACATAGGCTTACAAAGGACCACCAGCCAGAGCACTTCATGAGGGGGTGCAGGAGGGCATGAGGTTGTGGGAACCTGGTTTTGATGGTTTGTTCCCAATAGGTACCTGTTTCACTGGGAACACTGTCAAGGGGAGGGCATACAAATTGCTGGAAAGTGCTAGCTTGGCTGAAACATCGTCACGTTCATCAGTCACAGGAAACCCTCATCTATGCTTGTTATTTGAACATAGAATGCCAGTCGTAATATGTGCTGACATAATCACTTAAGAATTTGTTTCCAAGCCAACATGGAATCCCGCCTGTGGTCCATTCCTTTAGGTATCCCAAGTTTTCAGACTTCAAATGCCAGTTCTTTGGCTAGAAGGACTTTTCACAAGGGCGGAGGCCCCCTTTGAATCTGCTCGACAGACTCCCATAGGTTTCTTTTTTTTTTTTTTTTAAAGATTTTATTTTATTTATTTATTTGAAAGAGAGAATGAGAGAGAGAGAGAGAGCACATGAGAGGGGGGAGGGTCAGAGGGAGAAGCAGACCCCCTGCCGAGCAGGGAGCCCGATGCGGGACTCGATCCCGGGACTCCAGGATCATGACCTGAGCCGAAGGCAGTCGCTTAACCAACTGAGCCACCCAGGCGCCCTTCCATAGGTTTCTAACTAACAGGTGAGTCCCAAGGCTCCTTACAAGCACTTCGGGCTCCTCCTCAGTGCTGGTAAGGGAGAGCAGGAGGGCAGGTGGGCAGGAGGCATAGTGAGGGATAATCCTTAGAAGGCCTAGTTACTACCCCCCCCTGGGAGCTCTTAGCCACATGCTACACATTTCATCCATGGGAACACCCAAATTCCACCCTCTTCACCCTTGACCTCACTGGAAGAATAAGCACTTTCTCTCACACAGCCACTGGTTCCATCAGCAGTGCCCTTTAGCCGCGTCAGCCATGGACTCCTGTACTTTCCTACAGACGCAACGCTGTCTCCCAGATGACCCTGTCACCACCTCCTGAAATCTCGATGGTCCGCGAAGGCTCGGATGGAGCCCCCACCCTCCCAGAGCGCTTCTCGGTCACTCTGCTAGAAGAGTTCTCTCTCCGTGGACTATCACAGTAGTTGGGTACATCCACCTCATGGAACTCACCACAGAGCCCCCTGTGAAATCATCTGTGTGGGTGTCTGATCCCAAGCTAACAGAGGCTCCTTTAGGAACGGAAGCCTTATCTCACAGATCCCTGCGTACCAAGCACTCTCCCGGTGAGCCAGGTAACATTCTTCAGAGGTCTGGTCAACACAAGAACACGAACGGGCAACAGAGGGGGCAGTAAGCACCATTCATGAGAGTCTGGACGATCCGAAAAAGGGGACAACCCCTGACGACCGTGTGATTGGTTCTCTGCCATCACTACCTCATCAGGCACAGGGCTCCACCCTGCTTGTCCCTACAACGTCCACCGCAGAGCCTGAGCCATCTGCCACAACCTTAGACCACAGGCCGGGGCCAGACATCATTCGAAAACGACAGCAAAAATCGGTCCCGGGGAAATTTCTCCCTTTGGGTGAGTGCCATCCCTATGCTGGAAAAGAGGGAATGAAGCTCACAAAAATGTCAAAGATGACAAAAAATGCGCTTTAAGTTGGTGTCTAGAATGAGAACTAGTGCTATGAAAGCAGAGAGCAAACGACTAAGGTAACCACTATCTTGGTCCTGTTTTCTCCAATGAGGGCAGGATCTTCCAAATTGAGAGTGCAGAGAAACACCTGCTTAGTACTTGAAGTCTAAGACTGATGTGGGGATAGTGGGAGACACCTGTTTCAAAGCAGATCACATGGCAGGACTGCTGTCAGGACTCGGGAGAAACCATGAACAACAGAGGACCAGATCCTGAGAAGCACTGCCCTACCTTCCCAAGGGGGAAATAAAGTAGCTTCTAGAAACTCCAGAATGGTGAACTTCATGTAAAACGCTGGCAAAATCTGGAATGATACAGACGATAAACATTCTGACTGCTAACAACTGCTGGTTTCTTTCCAGCTCTTGATTCAACGTCGTGTCACACCAAAGTAACCTCCTTTTTTGTTTTTCTTGATAGGATTACTACAGCAGCCAACCCAGGAAATAACGAAACAATAGCTGAGAGTTTTAAGAGACCAGTGGGGTGGATTGAACAGAACATAATCTTTTTTTTTTTTTTTTTTTTAAGATTTATTTATTTATTTGAGAGAGCGAGAATGAGAGAGAGTACATGAGAGGGGGGAGAAGCAGGCTCCTCGCCGAGCAGGGAGCCCGATGCGGGACTCGATCCCGGGACTCCAGGATCATGACCTGAGCCGAAGGCAGTCGCTCAACCGACTGAGCCACCCAGGCGCCCCTGAACAGAACATAATCTTTTTTTTTTTTTTTTTAAGATTTATTTATTTATTTGAGAGAGAGAGAATGAGAGGGAGAGAGCACATGAGAGGGGGTAGGGTCAGAGGGAGAAGCAGACTCCCCGCCGAGCAGGGAGCCCGATGTGGGACTCGATCCCGGGACTCCGGGATCATGACCTGAGCCGAAGGCAGTCGCTCAACCGACTGGGCCACCCAGGCGCCCCTGAACAGAACATAATCTTGAAGGCGATAGCTAACACTGAGACTTTACTCTGCGCTTGATGTGCCTCCAAGGGCTTCTGTCCTGTATTTGCCCGCAAGTTACACAGGTAGAAGTCCAACCAGGCAACCAGGCCCCCAGGTTGTGCTTTTCGCATTAGGCTACAGTGCCTTTCCGCATGCATGGTAAGGCTGCTAAAAAGAGGGGAGATGTGAACCCTGCCCTTCCCATACAGGGGGGCCAACCTGCCCTTCCGCTTCCCTGTAAGAGGGCGAGAAGGATGGGAACGCATCTGGCCTTGCTCTGCCCTCGACCCACTTACTTCTCTGAGAGGAGGAGGGTGACCTTCTGGTTGCCAAGATGGGGAGATACAGTGAGTATATTTTCCTGGCACGGCAACGTCATCAGGACAGAATACGACACTGCAAGGGGACCTTGTAGTTTATGGTGGGTCCATTACTGGGCTGATAATCAAAATATTTGAATAACCAGTTCATCACCAGACCAACAAACGCCACAAACCACTGGTGTGCGAGGGCCAGCCCTGGTCAGTTTGCGTCAATAGGGTTATTGGCCAGGGTAATAAACCCCGTTGTGGTATTAGCATCACCAATCCAGTCTTTCCAGTAAGAGATGAACTGTTTTGATTTTCATTTATCTGATTTCTAGGTCCTGTTTTTTCTTTCTTTTTTTTAGGTCCTGTTTTTTCAATATGTGCTGGACTTGGAGGGAAGGGCAAGTATATGACTAACTATCACCACCAAAACCCCAGGAGTCCTCTGTACTTTTCAGACAGTATCCCCAAAATTAAATGCAGTTTCACATGACATTTTTAAGGTGATACTGACAAATTAGAAGGCACTCAAAAGGTAAGATCCAGCCTACACTGGGGACCACGTGTTATGCAGGAGATGGAAAGACGGGGGCCATTCAGGTCATGGCTCATGCATACGTGGTTGGACCTGTAAGTCGGACTGTGGCAGGCTGGGGGAGGGGGGGGGCAGAAAACAATCTTTGGCAAAGAAAGTGGTAGAGCTTTGGGAATAAGGTGGGCTCCCGTTACTCTAGAGAAGGGTCAGCAAATTATGGCTACAGCCCTTCTGTTTTGTGAGTAAAGCTTTATTGGAACCCAGCCATGCCCATCCATACACATATGGTCTATGGCTGATTTGCACTTGACAATGGCACAGTCGAAAGTGGGGTAGAGACTGTAGGGACTGCAAAGCCTAAAACACGTACTATCTGGCTTTTTACAGACCTCTGGTCTAGACCTAGGAAAGGAAAGCAACTAACAGCCTGAAGGTGTGTGTGTGGGAGGAGGGGTGGGGGGAAGAAAAGAGGAAGAGGGAGTATGTTTGGAAAGCCGGGACCTTTGGCTGGGGCGCCAGAAAAAGGCAGAGAGGAAACAATTAGGGTGGAACCACCACCATGTTTTACTCTGTGGGGGTCCCTCCTCATGTGAGCTGAGCTACAGAATACCCTTTCCAACTGAATTACCTACATCTATTGGGGTGAGTTCCAATTTTAGTATATGTGCTGCCGAAGCGAGCACTGGGGGGAGTTCCTAGAAGGTGGAGAGAGTGGATTTTTCTCCTGCCTGTCCGAATTGGCAGCATATAAACAGTAACATTATAAACACATGAGCACAGGTAATCAAAAACGTTTTAATGATTAATGTTTAGACATTATTTAACAGTGTGGGTATATTCAGATGAGCTAAAGCACACTTCGACAGCACACTACTGAATGTTATAGTTTCTGTATTGAAATATGTAAAGACATTTGCAAACTAGTACCTAGGAAGACATACATTTACAAATATACACATTCTAGATTTGATAAGGTAAATGTAAACAGATGCTGTGACTCCCTCCAAACAGAAAACCCGCAAAACTAATAAGAGAACCAATCAGCTCCCTGTAATATGAATGTGCAAAATTAAAGCATGGTAAACTGATATTTACATAAATATCAAACCAACAATTAGTTTATACATTGTCAATGACCTTCTAAGATGTGTCACGAGTGGTTCAATGACTGTTTTTTCTCCCAGTGGAGAAGGTATTCAGAGACTAAATTCCAACACTTTAAAATGACACGCACAATAGTCCTTATCTGTTTGACCACTGCCTCCAGGGTGAGAGACATGATTTTATGATAAGCAGTCTCATTTTTAAATAAGCAGTTCTACACAGGTCTTTAGATCCTAAGCAGAAAAAGAAAATTACAGGTACTATTAGATTTACACTAAACAAATGATCTCTATGCAATTTCCCAGTTCTCTTACATTGTAGCTATCTGTTTAATTTTACCTTAAATTTTTTTTAAGGTCCCTTTTTCCCCCTTCATTCATTTTTATAAGCTAGGCACATTTTAAAAGAAGTTTGTGTCAAAACAGAGAGCAGTACAGAAACCAATCCAAATTTGGACCCATTGCTCATCTATGGAATTCTGTCAAATGGTAAATATTCAATTATCTCTTTTGAAAAGTATACATCCTCTCTTTCACGAGTGGAAAGCAAAGTGGGCATTGTTTCCTGTATAAAAACACTTAGCACTTCAGAAATTTTAAATGTCCTACTCATCCTACATACTTTCCAAAATCTTGAAGACAAAGAATATATATTTAGGTTTCATCAAGACTGCTTTAGAGCCCCCCCCTTACATTATCAATAATGGCACTCAAAATAAAAAAATAAGATCTGTTAAAAAGTTAAACTGACCTTCCACTAGATTTGAGCCTGCCTGATTTAAAGCCAATATTATAAAACTGAAGGTGCCGTTTCTGATTTCACACGTACAAGTCACTTGAAATTATGTGTCACACGCTAGTTTCACAAATCACGGTCTTTGATTTTTTTCTGAACAGAGCTATTAAAAACGAATAAAAACTTGAAACATACCTAATT